TTCTCGTGAGAGAGAGAGAGAGAGAGAGAGAGACAGACAGACAGACAGACAGACAGAGACAGAGAGAGAGAGTTCCAGCATCCACCCTCTTGACTCAATGTAGCACTACCTCCTCAAGGTACTTAAGGAGGTAGTGTTGTGTTTAAGGCCTTGTGGGAAGATGAATGGAGGCATAACGTCGCCATCACTAGTGGTCATTCGAAACACTTTTCTAATCACCATTACACTCTTTTTCTGTATTCCCTGCACTCTCCTCAGATTGGCACCCAATCACCCAAAAATTGACACCCAGTCACCCAAAAATTGACACCCCAAAATGGAATTTTATAGTAAAACTACAAACGATACACTTTTGAAAAATGCCGTAAAACAAAATAAACTAAACAGAGACCCGGAGGGATAGTAAAAATTACAAACATTGTTAAGAGTTACAAGAGATAGGAAACTATGGAGAGCCATGATCTCTTACTTTCTGAAGGTACCCGGTACATAAGAAGACGAAGAAGAAACGATTCAAAGATCGGCATAGGAAATATAGTCCAATTGCTTACATAACCAATGCTTTATTGGATAAATGAGGAACGCAAATTATATTAAATACCTTGCATAAATCCTAAATCTTAAATAATTACCCTCTGCTCACGAAGATTCTTATCACTAAATCTAATGCCTATTCTAGTTCACCGTGATATCTTGCGCTAATGGCCAGCAAGTAATCGCACAAGGCCCAAACAGAAGACATATTACTAACCTGGCCGACATATTTAATGTACCTGTTACCTTACTGATAATAATAATATTTGCTTTGTACTTTACGCTACAATATCCATCGTATCCTCCGTGAAGCAGAGAGATTGAATTAGCTCGACGTGAAGATGTGATGTGCAATTATTAAGTTGGACAAGTCCTATATTTGTAGACATTACCGATGTTCCCATCCAAATGATTAATGAGCTGGTGTCGCACAGATATGAACCTAGGCGGTTCTTAAATGACTGAGTGACTTCAATATATAAGAGACAGGTGCAAATACATATCCGTATAGATATAACTTATGCATCTTACATGTTCATTTATGTCACTTGCCTGCATAAACATGTACACACACACACACGTACACACGCACACACATATATATATATATACATACATATCTGCTATACATTTATTGATTGTAAGGCTTTTATATAATACGTTTGCACTATAGCAGATTTTACTAGACATTTCATGTGTCAGGAGAGAAGGAAGATCAAACAATGGATGTGAGTATAATATTTGCGGTAAACATATATTTTAATTACAGGCACGAATACTTTGTTTAAACTTATTTTATTATAAAGAATGAAAAAAGAATATCTGCTATTTCTCCTGGCATCGAATATTTTCTTTGATGTCGTCTGCAGAATTGTCAAAGAACTTATCAAAATTTTATGTAATGTTGAAAATGCATTTAGTCATGTATTTAAAGTTAATAATATAAAATTCGAATGATAGCCAGTGGATCGCCTATTTTGTTAATTGTTCGATGTTTGAATTGAACGAGGATGTACATGTTATGGTTGATTAGTCGATCTTTAGTCTCTTTGCTTGAATATTATTTTCCAGGTTCATATTTAGTTCTTTATGTGAATTTGGTATATTTTGTAACAATTTATCCCTTACACAAATTTGGTTAAAGACGAACGTAATTCAGTTGCTAAAAATATTTATTCATGTGTTGTTTAATATTTATTTATGAATTTCTGGTATTTATCATTATTTACCCTATTTAGATTCAGACTGTTGTCATAACCGTTGTTGATATTACCAAAATATATCGACAGTTGTGCCCTTCGGCCTTCATCAGATGTATATCAGGTTAACCTACAAGGAATTCCGAACCGTGTTTTTATTTAATCTATTAGGGGTAGACTGTTGTCGTCCCACTGTTCATGTGTTAGGATATCCCTTACAGTTTTTGTTCTTTTATTTTTAACACTGTTCTTTTATTGATATCCCATTGACACTGAGTCCAAGGACACACTACCGGGCCCTGTGATTGAGCTCACAATTAATATTTCACCAAATTCACGAACTAACGTTTTAATTTACTAGTCTATTCTACTGTGTCGATAAAATCTTGACAAAGGCCTGAGGTAATAACAACAAAGATGAGAACTATAGTCCGAATATAAATAGTGTAAATAATGATAACTCCTCACCCCAGAAAGTTAGACGGCAAATAACTTTTTTTTATATTTCGAACTATTCTCAAGGAAAATTCCAATATAAATTATCAAATACCTGATTAATTTCTTTTTGAATAAATTATTATAAACAGTTTCGCTTTTTACACTAGGTTTTATTTAAATCTGTTTTTCATTTCTCGCCTTGACACACTATGCAAATTGTAGTTTTTAAATATAACAACTTTACGTTTCAGTTCGTTTTTTTTTTATAATAGATACGATTTTTAATGTATTTATATTAGGTAAGTACAGGATCATCGCAATAATTTGTTAACTTTATAAGCCCTTTGCTACCTCAAAATCGTTAGCTAGTATAAATTAACAGAGCATTGTTTACGTAAATTGTCTAAGAACTTGCAATAATTCTTCGTATTTCTTTTGAAAATATCAGCCCATTTAATAGGATCTATAATTTACTGCCCGATATACAAACTGAAAACATTATGCACCTTTTCTATTATCATCAGAGATGTGTTGTTTGAATATTTACATGAACCTAACCTAACCTAACAGATCCATCAAATGTAGATCTTCCGATATCCATTAAGAGCTACTGCTGAGAAATCAGTTTTTATTTACTTCTACGCACAGCTTGCACATTTTTACTTTTGACATATACTTAAATGTGAAAATTTGTATTTTTTTCCTTAACCAATATTCTTAATATTCTAAAACTTCTATTGTATTGTTTTTATACACGCTTCTCTCAATCATTGGCTTGCTTTTGATGTTTGTTACAGCTTTTCCCCATCGTCGTTCTTCTATTTGCACGATAATATTACAATATAGTTTTCGTTTCTGAGATTGAAACTTTCTTTATTTCTGAAATGAAATATAGATATCAGTAACTATATATTATATATATTTATTACCAAATACAATGAGAATCTCGCAAGTTGCTTAATAGAATCACACACAGATATGTCTGTGTATTAAGAATGATACATTATAATATATAATATATATTACAATATATATTAAGAATTATATAGTAAATGTTGTGGAGATCACTGACATATTTAATAAAATCTGATGCAGCATTTGTTGATTCCTAAATCCTTACATGAATGAATTTTGACATCGTTAATGGATTTCTTTCGTAAATGTTTGGCCATTTTTTTACAAAGAGATATTTTTTCTCTATTTCTAAATTCTATGAATTCAAAATAAAAAGTGAACCATTGACAATTGTATAATCCGTATTCATTGAGCTCATTTGAAAATGTGCAGTCATGGTAGACTATAAAATTGTATGAACTGTTGCAAAACCTTAACTTGGAGAAAGAAAAATTGTCAGACCCCCCCCAAAATAATAATAATAAAGTGAACGTGTTGTATTGCGCCACGTTGTTAAATGTATGTACTGTGCAGTGCATATTCTTTTCATCATTACACAATTTCTTCGACAAGTCCGCTCTATCGCCATATATCAGATGATTCTACAATTGCAGTACTTTTTTTTTAATAAGAAATATCTATCTGCTAGGCCGGTGACTCCTATAAGAAGCTCTTGCTACTTTGCCAACTTTTCCCAAGCCGAGTTTAGGTTCATATTTTTTCTTTCTCCTAGACTGTCAACCAAACCTTTTGGGTTCAGTTTTTCCTGCTATTTACCCAGAGCTGTAAGGTTAACTGATGGTTTCTTACCTTTCCGAAAGAAATTTGGACGCGAACTCAGTAGGAATTAGAACTTGGCTCTCGGGTTTCTGCTTCTGGGCTCTTATCCACTATACCCCACGCATCAGCCAGACTAAACATTGCTTAAATTGGGTTATCGGACGAGAACCAGTTTGCTAACGCGATATATGCTTGTAGACATAGGTAGCTAGATAGCAATATAGTAGCTAGCTAAATAGATAGATAGATGGATAGATAGATAAATAGATAGATATGAACATACTAAGATAGATAGATAGATAGATAGATAGATAGATAGATAGATAGATAGATAGATAGATAGATATGAACTTACTAAGATAGATAGATAGGAATATATTAAGATAGATAGATAGATAGATAGATAGATTGATAGATAGATAGATAGATAGATAGATAGATAGTGTTCTAGTATAGACAAGTTGATTCTTTCTGATTTCACATTTTCTTGGCATTTGTGACATTTGAATTGTATATAGAGTCTTACAGTACCTGCAGTCTTCCATCTTGGTACTACCAAGTTCAACGTTGCTTAACTGCCGTTATCGGACGAAAATTGGTCTGCCAATGAGATGTATGACCATAAACGTAGATAGATAGATAGATAGATAGATAGATAGATAGATAGATAGATAGATAGATAGATATGATCAGACTGAGAGAGATAGATATGAACAGATTGAAATAGATAGATAGATAGATAGATAGATAGATAGATAGATAGATAGATAGTAGTCTAGTTTAGTGCCCTTGATTCTTTCTGATTTTCTGGCATATGTAACATTTGAATTGTATCTACAGAGAGACTAAGTCAAATGCATAAATGACCATAATTGATTCTTGTTCGGATAAATGGAATCATGTTAGAAAAATATAATAGAAAATAGTAGCAAATGTTATGCATTATATTGCGCAGACTTACCTCCATGGAAATCTGCTGTATAGACAATATTAATAGGGACAAAAGAGAAAAAAACGCGGCAACAATGATTGCGGAAGATTTGTTGAATATAAGAAGTAAAAATCGAAAAAAAAAAAAGAAAGAAATTGCATTGTTTTGCTTGTTTATTTGTACGTTTCTTGTTTTTAGGAAGGTCGTTTAGCCAAAATGCAACTATGATAGGTAATCGTCTCGTCTTATATTTATTTTAATTTTGTACAATTTATAATTTAGTTCTTCTTTCCATTATTTCTTTTACCTTGCGTAAGATATTTTTATCTGTTTTTCAATAATGTCTTTATTTCTGTTTGTCTGTATGTATGTTTTTAACTATTGCTAATAAGTTCTACTCCATAGATGCGAAATTTGTACATGTCCTACTCTTTAGAACCTTGTCTCAATCTGCTTAAAATGCTTACAGCTTTATGTAATGTATTTTAGTTTGTTTTTTTTTATATTACGTCTTCTTTATGAATTTGTAAAAATTAGTTCTCTTGAATTTCAAATATTTTATTTTACATTCATTTTAAGGTCTTTTCGGCTTTTACTTTCATTTCTTTTTTTTTCCAAATATTAATCATATAATAAACACATGGAAGAATCGTATGTGTTTTTAATCCATTTCCCATAAGGAGATTTAACGTTTTCAAAGGGGTGAAAGTCAGGAACTTTATCGAGGCCCCTAAATAAAATTACCGAATATTTTTCCTTATTCACCTTGTTTCGATATTTTCTTCACTTTATTATTTTCTTCCCTGTTTTGCCTTAATATTTATTTCAAAATTTCATATTTCCTAATATTTTATATTAACAATGTTTTCTCTTCCCGTTAACTTTTAGCTTTCTTTCTTTCTTTCTTTTTTCTTTCTTTCTTTTTTCTTTCTTTCTTCGGTTTCATTTCTTTTCTAGAATTTTCTTTTCTTTTCTTTTTATCATAGTCAGGTTTCATTTTACCTTTTAATATAATCTTTTCTCTTTCTCTTTCCTTTAAATAGGGTCTTCTTTTTTTCTTTCTTTCTTTCTTTCTCTCATTCTTTTTTTCTTTCTTCTCCCTTTACTTTTTGACGCTTCTGGTTGGCTGTTCTTTCTTTCATCTTTTTTCTCTCTTTCTAGTTACCATCTTTCTTTCTATCTTTGTGGATATTTCGCTGTTTTATAACTATATCTCTTTTACGTATCTTCTTCATAATTCCTCTTTACTTACATTACCTGTTCAGCCGTCCCCGATTATTTCTCTGCCTCGAATAGCAACTAAAATTGCTGCGCAATTCTGAGAGTAGATTAATTATCTCAAGGTTACAAAGCGAATTGAAAGCGCCCGAAAGAAATTCAGGGGTATATTCTACGGATTTCTTATTTGTTAAGTTGACGAATTTAAGGAGGTCAGTGCTGGCTTCTTCATAAACAACAATCCACAAACACAAGCCACCTATTTGCGAAGAGAGAAGTTATGTATACCTGTCTGCCTTCTCCGACCTGACTTTATGATTTGTGTTATTGATTGTGAAGATGGAGGAAATCGCTATGAAGATTGCCAACACAATCAGGCCAAGGAAATCGATGCTACATTTCTTTTTCATAGTATCTATTATCTCAGTAATACTCATGAACACTTACACAGACATAAGCGCGCACACACACACACAAATATATATATATATATATATATATATATAAATGCATACATATATGCCTATGTATGTATCTCTATATATGTATATGTATGCATATATATATATATATATATATATATATATATATATATATATATATATATATATATATATATATATATACACATGCGTGTATAAATGTATGCATATATATACTTGAATATATATGTGTGTGTATATATATATATGCATATATATATATATATATATGTACATGTATGTGTTTGTGTGGTTACAAATAAATACACACATAAACACAATCACACACACACACACACACACACATATATATATATATATATATATATATATATATATATATATATATATATATATATATGGTTATTTACGTATGCGTATGTGAGAATTCGTCTAATTCTTGAAGATATATGAATTCTCGTTCAATATTTCTCTTCTTATTCTCCTCGCTATCGTGCAAATATGAATAAATCTGATGTGTGGATATGGGAAATAAATGTTTTCTTTTTATTCTAATTTTCATTAATTTTCAACCGATATGTTAATGGAAATATAAAACGTTTCCTTTTAAGGAAACATACAACATTCAGTCACCGTGCAGTCAGGGTTTTTGTCAATTGAACATTATAATTTTTGTTACAAATTTAAATAAAATACGTTTCACAGGTCTGTCATACGCTTCTTGCTTTTTACAATATTGATGGTGGCGTGGGGATTCTCTTCAACTTTAAAGGTTTATTTGAATTTTTGTGGGATGTCGATATCTTGATTAGGTCATTATCTATTTTTTACGTTAGACGTGTTATACATTTTATTTAATACCGCATAAAATTCATCAAGTGATGTAGTTTCTGTTATTTGTTTCGGTATTTTATTTGTGATCATGTAGCGCCAGTCCACTCGGAAAAGTGATTATATTTAACTGGCAATCTATTCATTTCTGAACGAGATTGTCACCATGTTTGATATCCATATGGAAGTCACGATTTGGTAAGGTAGAGTATTTGATAGACGACTACTTTTGATCCATAGAAAGTTAATTGACCAATTAATTGTTTATAAGTAGAAAACTATAATTAATGCAGGATCTTTAAGAATCTATAATTAATATCATCCCTTTTATAAACACATAATTAGTACTGGAAATATATAACGGACTTTTATTTTAATTGTTATAGATATTACTAGATTTTATGCTGACCATTAACGGAGTAAATATCAAACACACACACACACGCACACACGTCCTGCATATGAAGATAAACCACATCCGACAGCAAGCCCTGAGAAGTGTGAAACCATCTCTTACTTACTGTTGTTCACCGATCAATTACGACTCGGGGTGGTAGCCCCTGTTAGTGACCCAGTTGTAGGCAAATATTAAACCCCAAAATAAGAGAATAGTAAAGTATAAAAATACATATTATAGTAAAAATCCTAGCAATACATATTTATAATAGATTTACCAAAAGCACAATTTGAAACAAAAAATACAACAATATATTTTATTTTAGCTGCAAGCGTAAAATAGGGTCGAAATTATATTTATTTGAAGTTATAAAATCGTTCAAAATGTTTAGATTTCCGCATTAAATATCCCATAGAGGACGATTTGTTGGAAGGCAAAATCAACCAAACAACCAACATGAAAGAACTCTTTCGTGACATTAATCCATATAATATCTTACACTTAATATATCATATTTTTATTAGTTCAAACATTCCAAGAAAATTAATCTTCAACATTAAATGATCCATAAGCATTTTATATGCCGTAAAAAAAGAATCAATCTCTCTTTCTCTATCTCTTTTACTTACACACACAATATCGAAAATATTTAAATACTCATCTCAAATTATATGCCATCAAAATAACATTTTGGCTCTTATTTGAGCTTTGAATTTTTTTTTAACTTAGTCTTACTCCTCCTCTCTCACTCACACATATATATTCACACACACGCGCACACACACACACACACACACACACACACACATCTATCTATCTATCTATCTATCTATCTATCTATCTATCTATCTATCTATCTATCTATCTATCTATCTCTCTCTCTATATATATATATATATATATATATATTATTTACTGCTGGTACAAGTGCGTCAATTTAGCCTTGAAAATTACATACTTATCCCATGTAATGTCATACTACAAAAGAATTTCAATCTGTGTGGAGAAATTAATATGAGTGAACTTGAAATTCGGAAAAGGAAAAAGAAGTAAATGACACTAGGTAAATGAGGACTAAAGAAATAATGAAGTATGGCAGCATATCTGCTATCAGATTCGAATGTAGTGAAAATAATGTAATTTATCGAGAACATTATAACCTTATAACCCCATTTATCCGGAGAACTTCATGGAATTGGCCGGCAGAAAATTTGCGCGACAATACCAGTAGTATCTACAAAACAGCACATTTGAACACTCCCTTATTTGAGAAACACAGAGAAAAACATAATATGATTTATAATTAACAGCCAAGAATAATTCTTTATATGTATATACTTGACAGAACAACAAACGTCTCCTTTAATTCACACCTCCAAAGGTTTGTCTGGATAAAATATATCGACGCAATGTAAACAAGAACTATATAAATATGGAGGCTCACAACGGTAGCTGAAAAAAAAGAAAAAAATTGATACTCCAGGGTGAAATGAAAATACTGTTCGCAGCAAACATTGATATTTTTCAGGTCACATGAGTGCGTTGCCTTTTAGAATTGCAAATTTTAAAATATATCAAATCACTTGTAAAAAAATCATCGGGAAATAAGTAAGCATAAAATATCAGCGCAGTTTGAAAAGTTTTCCTTCGGCATTCTAATGAGTTCCTAAATAGAAAGTTTTTAAATACATAGAAACTGATATGCAGAGTCGAATTCTTCAATGTTAATCGGAGTCGAAAATATTTAAATACTCATCTCAAATTATATGCCATCAAAATAACATTTTGACTCTTAGTTGAGCTTTGAGGATTTTTATCTCTCTGTTTCTTTATCTCTCTCTCTCTCTCTCTCTCTCACACACACACACACGCACAGACACACACATATATGTGTATATAGACAGATTGGGTTTTATAGTCGCCTTGGATGGCAACTGGTCTAGGAGAGGGACAACTCTGAATTCAAAACCTGCGGAAAGCTGTTTGGGGACCTTGTGGCACGTAGTGCACGAGGTCTCTGTAATCCAGCCATTGGATGGTTCTGCACAAAGCCTTCACCACTAGAATCAAATCATATGTGCTCGTGTCTGACTGTCGGTTCCTAGGCACTGAGTCGCTGACCCTCATACGTCGAATACGACGGGAGAATCTACCATATATATATGAAATTCCAATGTGAACAATGTGCTGCAATGTATGAGAAGAAACACATTCGAAATTCAGCTCTTGGAATTTTGGATACTGTAAACACAACACATATTTAAAAAAATATTTTCACTTTCTTTTTATTTCTAATGATTCATTTTGAAAGAACAGAAAACAATGACGATCAATTTTTTTTGTACTACATACAATACCCACAAGATGGATTCTATTTCTTTATTATATTATATTTTATGGCCTGTTTTAATTTAAAGTAAGCTATTAAGTGAGACTTGGGTACATATTTCAGGAGCAAGAATTTTCTGTAAAAGTTTCGTTAAATTCAATTGAAAAGTCTATCATTTCTTATTACATTCCCATTTCTGATGTGAGTCTTAACACTAGGATGGCCAGCTCTTTTGACATCTTTATTTACATTACGCCGTGAAGCAGCCATCTTTAATATATTCAATATTCAAGTCAGGAATAACAAGTCTGAAAAGAAATTCACAAATATTAGTATATACCTCATACTGAAAGAAAGTGATTTTATATATAAATTATGTGTGTGTGTGTAGATAGATAGATAAATAGATAGATAGGGGACATAAACACAAGTATTATTGCTTGTGAGAAATTTTTCAATGCATTTACCCTATAAATAGCCTAGGTGTCAAAAACGACATGTCGGCCATTGAAGGTAAAACCTCAAATATCAGCTATTCCACTGAATATTTTTTAAAGAATTAAGTCTGTTAAGCATCTTTGCTAAAATTCAATAATTGTTCATAAGCCTCAGCATCGAACCAAAACTAGTTATTCCATAGTAATTTGTTTGTAAAATTTGAATGTGTCGAAAACGACACCTCGACCATCCTAGTGTTAATACATCTGAATCGAAATCATGGAAAAACTATCCCAAGTTGATATTTTTACTGTTTTTTATAATAGTACATTAAAATAAAATATATTTAAACCAGAGTATAAATTATTTAATAAGTTATATATAGTTATTTAACGTTCAATATAATATATACAAAATAATATAGACAAATATTTGATACGTATTTTTTCTGTTGCAGTCGAGATACGTATAACCGTTTTAATACTTACTATCAATTACTGTGATTTCCAATGTTGCAAAAAATTCCAGAATTTAGTTTCGAAGATCTTCTTTGATGCATTGTCAACACCCACCTCTTGATAATGACTGAGGCGGTCGGATTTAATGAACGGAAACAACAAAACAATTACTTTAGACTATTTATCGAATGTTTAATTCAGATAAAGAATATATCATTCAAAAATTCAAAACATCCAATGAAATCAAAAGCAGAATTAAATAGAACGTGTTTTTGATATGCATATATAAACATGCTCTCTCTCACTTTCTTCCTCTCTCTTCCTCTCTCACTTTCTCTCTCTCTCTCTCTCTCTCTCTATATATATATATATATATATATATATATATATATATATACACACTTTATTATAGTATATTACATTCTAACATGTAGAAACAACGCTACATAAATGCACACGTTTCGATGCGTATCAACACAGTAGGCATTAATAATTTTAATATTTAATTTATATTCTATTTGTTCTAATTATATATATATATATATATATATATATATATATATATATATATATATTTATTTTTCACTTATGCGTTGATTACAATGTTCAACAGAATAATGGTTAGTCTACTCAAGCGAAACCGATGAGGAAGGCAAATATTGCAGAGACTCCCCCACTGCATATGAACTATAGACATTATATCATTCACTAGTCAGTGTCCAGATTGATCCCATCCCCAATCCAGCAATCTGTTCCAGCTAGGCGGTCGAACTCTCTGCCTCTGAGCAGAGAGGAACACGGACGAGACTCCGCCGAAGGGCAGAATCTCGGTCGGGGAGGTACGCTGCCCCAGAACCCGTTTATACGGTTTCAAAAGGGAATATTTTTGACCGAGCGTTTCACTCACGATGAACGGATGTTCCCTTGAGTAGGCTCCGTGTCTTGAAAGTATACTGGGCCTCAAACTCAAACCTGATCCAAAGTTGAATTTCTATAAACATTTCATCGCAAAAGATGCAGGTAAAATGATCGGCTCCCTCTACCAATCTAGTAAGCATCTGACTCCTTATATTATCCCTTATCTTTATAAGAGCCAGGTCAAAACGAGGATGGAGTATTATTGCCATATTTGTACAGGAGAAGAGTACAGACCTCACTTGCCAGCCTTAATAGAGTTTTAAAGTGTCTACGAGTCCTTGTTGTAAAAGAATTACTTTCCACACTCCAACCTCTCAGAGCCGCGATATTGCGAGTCTCTTACCACTCTTGCTACTAACATGGAAAGTTCTCGGACGAATTGCAATCTCATGGTTCCAGCAGTTCTGGTCTTCACGTCTAGGACCCTCCACTTATATAGTGACAAACTGCCCTCATTTCCACAACATTCCTTCAACGAGAAGTAAGTTGCACTCAAGCAGCTTTTTCCGGCGAACCACTGCCCCATGGAACAGACACCCAAGAAGATATTTCCCCGATCACTACATCCTTAACGTGTTCAAGTCTAGAGTCAGCCGTTATCTTCCCCTACTATGTATATACACTACCGCCCGCCTAACGTTTAGCCTCTACCCTGATTGACCCCCGGATATATATATATATATATATATATATATATATATATATATATATATATATATATGAATACACATAATATCCAGCGTCCATATTTCACTAATATATAATTAATAGCTCTGTTATATCACACTGAGTACTGTATTTACAACAACTGAGAAAGAATATATATGTACGTGCAAGTATATGTGCGTATACGTATATTTTTATCACACACGCACACTCTCTCTCTCTCTCACACACACACACACAAACATATATATATATATATATATTGCCATCCCTGATAGTTTCACTGTATCACAGCTCATCTGTGTGGCTAGACGCCCGGTTGCTTCTAGCTAGAATCGAATGCAGACTCAATTGGAGTAAGTCGGAGATTCTACCCCTAAGCCACGGCAGCGATGAAGGTGAATTTAAGCGTATTTATTTTTAGAAAAACGCACATTGACTGAGGGAACTCAATTTGATTTACCGAAGAGTCTTGCATTATTAGTCGTAATAGTCACAAACTCACACGCACAGAGAGCTCAACCGAAATACATTTTTCAGGAGCATTACATATGGTTCCTGGTGAGGAAGTGTGAGTTTGTAAACAGTGACTATCACGCCTAATAATAATAATAATAATAATAATAATAATATATATATATATATATATATATATATATATATATATATATATATATGTTGTTAGCTAGTAATCGAATATGCCGGGCCATTAAGGGTTGCTCGCCAATCAATGTTGTAGACGCTTACTCAGGAATATTTTTGTTCATTCAGCATCCACAGTATATAGTATTGTTTATATTGCAACTCTTCTGAGTGGAAGTTAGGTCCACTTTATGGGCGAGTTTGAACAAGGCCAGTACGTTGAGACTCTCGATCACTGATTACTTCTGACATCGTGCTAGCACAATCATTGACGAACAATTCTGTCTAACCAATTTCAATTAGTCAGTGGAATGTGGCATGGTTCTTAGGTTCCTACCCCATCAAGAAGCCACCATATTGACAAATCGATGTGAGATTCATATTCAGGTCACAGGATGGAAAAGTTTGTATATTGTATACAATTATATGATTATATGGTTTTCTGTAGTTTACTGTTACCAGCAACAGAA